CTCCTGTGCCACCTCCTGTGCCACCTCCTGTGCCACCTTCTGTGCCACCTTCTGTATCACCTTCTGTGCCACCTCCTGTGTCACCTCCTGTGTCACCTCCTGTGTTGCCTCCTGTGCCACCTTCTGTGCCACCGGGGCTTCTGTGTCACCTTCTGTGCCACCGGGGCTCCTGTGCCACCTCCTGTGCCACCTTCTGTGTCACCTCCTGTATCACCTCCTGTGCCACCTCCTGTGCCACCGGGGCTTCTGTGCCACCTCCTGTGTCACCTCCTGTGCCTCCTCCTGTGCCACCTTCTGTGTCACCTTCTGTGTCACCTCCTGTGCCACCGGGGCTTCTGTGCCACCTTCTGTGTCACCTTCTGTGTCACCTTCTGTGTCACCTTCACCTTCTGTGCCACCGGGGCTCCTGTGCCACTCCCTGCTGCCGTGCAGGGCCCCTGGCACCGGCTGTACCTCCTGGCGAGCAGTGGGGTCGAGTTGGTGGCCCTGGTCGTGGGGCTCAGGTGACTCTTCTCCTGCTGGGAGGTGCAAGGCCCAGAGAGCCTGCAGGGATGCAGCAGCCTTGCCCTGTCTTTGTGGGGGCAAACTGCTCGCTCTCAGCAGTTGGATTTCAGCTGGGTTGATATTTGGAAAGTATAGGAGGTGTATCTCCCTGTGGTTAATCACCTCCTGTGCCACCTCCTGTGCCACCTTCTGTGCCACCGGGGCTCCTGTGCCACTCCCTGCTGCCGTGCAGGGCCCCTGGCACCGGCTGTACCTCCTGGCGAGCAGTGGGGTCGAGTTGGTGGCCCTGGTCGTGGGGCTCAGGTGACTCTTCTCCTGCTGGGAGGTGCAAGGCCCAGAGAGCCTGCAGGGATGCAGCAGCCTTGCCCTGTCTTTGTGGGGGCAAACTGCTCGCTCTCAGCAGTTGGATTTCAGCTGGGTTGATATTTGGAAAGTATAGGAGGTGTATCTCCCTGTGGTTAATGCCTCTAGCCCTTTTCTTGGCCTGGAAAATGTGAATTGTTCTTTCGTGTGTGTCTCAAATCGACCTTTTTTGCTCTCTTGGGTGCAAAGGTGTGATTGCTAGTTTCTCTCCATGCAGAAAAGCTGCTTTCTAATTAATGTGAACCTAGTGGTAAATTATAGTGAGGTTGGAAGGGAAACTCCTTGCTGCTCCTGTGAGCTCTCCCTGTGGATATGATATGTAGAGGTTATGACCTTAGTTGCTGAGGGTGGAGTTGCTGGTTGGTTATGAGGTGGTTGAATTTCCCCAGTAATACAACGAAACTATATGAGATTACCACATGAAACGTGAATGCAGGTTGCTGAAAGCACCTGTTAGGTGTTTATCCACAAAGTGGAGTGATAAAGTGTTCTTGTGGCTGAATGTTATTTCTTTATATTTGGTCATGCTTCCTGCAACTGTCAAACAGTACATCTGTGATGAATATCCGTGAGCCAATGTAATTTTCTGTTTACAAAGTGTTAAAAGTGTGTGTGTCAGAAGCCATCAAAGGAGCAGTAGGTGAAAGTACTATGTTCTGTGCAAAGCCAGGAGGATGCTTACAGGTAGTTTAGGAAAAGCTTTTAAGTTTGGAAGGACACTCCCAGGATGGTGTGGCGAAGATACTTTTCCATCATTGGGATATAGGCCATAGGAAGTAGTGCCTCTTGGAGGTGACTAGGCAGTAGCTGGGCTGTGGGAATGCAGATTTGCAGAAGAGATGTGTTTGAGACACAGGTTGGCTACATGTCTTATGATGGGAAAGTCTGTTACAGTTCTGGTTCTGTTCTCTGCCACAGAGATAGCTCCAAGCTGCCTTTTGAAACTTTGA